GTACTAGCAGCTAGTGGAGAGGGAGAAAACCAGGAGGGTTCATGAAGATGGCGACTCTTGAGCCAAATCTTAATAAAAATCAGAGATTCTTGTGAAGTGGAGGTGAGGAGGGAAGACACTGAAGGGATGGAGAACAGTCAGTGCAAAGGTACAGGAGATAAGGGATGGAGATTCATGTGTGGATGCTTTAGCTTTTAAGGTCTTCCTCTGGAAGTCTAAGATTCATCAGTAGGAATGTTAACATGGCTAGACTTGTGAAGGAGAATGATAATATCATATGAAAGCATAATGTTAGGGACACAAAATTTTAGATAACTGAAATTAAGCAATGTAGTAGGCCTAGCTAAAGTGTACTGAGCCTCAATATTTATGAGCTACCAGTTGGTAATTTTTAAAAATGGCCTACATGCAAATTTGAGCATACACGCTAAGATATCAGATGACATTAATATTCTCTGTACATGATAAGATAGAAGTTAACTCATTCTTTCTCATAAAACTGTTCTTGTTTGAATCTTGTAATTTTCAATGTTGTGTCTTCATCCTAGAAGTCCTTGAAGCTGTGGGATCCAGACTGTTCTGATTAAACCTTCCCAAATATAGCGTTGATTTGTTTTCCCTTTCCTTTTGATAAACATTCTGTTCCCAAGTTGTAACTTAATGTAGAACTTGACAGTGTGGGGTAATTTCCATGAGGGTTTCCATAAGACTATTTCAGACCCCGATTTCTTGTGTCTAATAGCCATGTTGGTGAATGGAAAAGGATCTCTGTTGAACAGCTGTTCTCCTAATGCAAATTTAAATTTTTTAAATTGATCTTCTAATAAAATATTGTTACCAAGAAGTCTGATCACTCCACATAACTCTGAGTGGTCCCCTTAATTTGCTTTGACAGTGTGTCATCTTGAACTCCCATCAGTTTCTGGTAGAGATTAGTACTGGCCCAACAGCCTTTTCTCCACTGACCCTCATGGACCCAGTTATTTCAGGTAAGAGAACTTCATTTAAATAATCAGTGAAAAATTGTATCTGCAGGATTGCATTCAGACCTTTTCCAGACCCATGTTGTACATATGCTGTACCTTCTGGGTACAATATTTAAACAAAGGGGAGGGTTAATTTTAATTGAATAGGATACCCAGTTAAGCACTCATAGTCCAACAAGAAGTTTTCACTATGGTAGTACGTTGAGATTAATCTGGTTTTAACATAGATGGAGTCAACAAATATTCCCCTCAATGACTTGAATTTTCCTCAACTGGTAGGAATGGGATGGAATAAGCATTTTTTAAGTGCCTATTATGTGCCAGGAGCATATAGGTGGTACAGTGGATAGAGCACTGGGCTTGGAATAAGGAAGGCACATCTTTGTGAGTTCAAATCCAGTCTCAAACTCTTACTAGCTCTGTGACCCTGGTCAAGTCACTTAATCCTTAAACCTTAAATAAGAAAAAAAGAAATTGGTATATGGTGTGAGATGTTGATTTATATTTACCTTCTGCCAAACAGCTTTCCAGTTTTCCCAGAAATTTTTGTCAAATGGTGAGTTCTTGTCTCAAAAGCTTGGATCTTTACATTTATTAAACACTAGGTTGCTATGATTGTTTTCTACTAAGTATTATGTACCTAATCTACTGCATTGGTTCACCATTCTGTTTCTTAGCCAGTAACATTGTTCTGATGATCACTGCTTTGTCATAGAGTTTGAGATATAGCACTGCTAGACCACCATCATTCATAATTTTTCATTGATTCCCTTGATATTTTTGATCTTCTGTTCTTCCAGATGAAATTTATTTTATTTTCTGGCTCTGTAAACTAATTTTTTTTTTTTGTAATTTGATGGATATGGATGGCACTAAATAGGTAATTTAAACAGAATTAATTTATGTAAAATTGTCATCTTTGTTATATTGGCTTGGCCTACCCATGAACAATTAATATTTCTCCAACTGTTTAGATCTGCCTTTATTTGTGTGAATAGTGTTTTGTAATTGTGTTCATTTGTTCCTGGGTTTGTTATGGCAGGTAAATTTCCAAGTAATTTATATCCACAAGCCATTTGGAAAAATAGGCAAAGAAAAGCAGTTTACCAAACCCTTTTTATGACACAAACATCCTGCTGATATATAAGTTAGGAAGAGCAAAATCAGAAAGGAAAAAAAAAACTAGAGACCAATTTCCCTAGCAAATATTGATGCAAAATTTTTAAACAAAATACTAGCAAGGAGATTACAGAAGTCATTTTAAAACTGAAGTTATTTTAAATCTAATTTCTCTTTCTATCTCTTCCTGTTAGATTTTGTTGGTAATACATAGAAACGTTGATGATTTATGTGGGTTTATTTTGTATCCTGCCACTTTGCTGAAGTTGTTAATTTTTTGACTAGTTTTTCACTTGATTTGCTAGGATCTCTAAGTATTCCATGGTATTAACTTCCAAGAGAGATAGTTTTGTTTCCTCATCGCCTATTCTAATTCCTTCAGTTTCTTTTCCTTGTTTTATTGGTATAGCTCGCATTTTTAGTGCAATATTAAGTAATAGTGATGGTAATGGGCATCCTTCACTGTTGATATTATTGGAAAAGCTTTTAGCTTATCTCCATTACCAATAATGTATATATAGAATAATTGGTGTGTGTGTGTGTGTATGCACACGCGTGCACGCGTGTCTAGTGGTAGCCATCTAGCATGGAGAGGGAAGAAAAAAAGAAAAAAATTACACGATAATTTTGTTGTATATTTGAAAGAAATAGCAAGTTAGTGGATAGTAGATTTGCAGTTTCATGTATAATCACCCTTTTTAATTGTACTATGTTATAAAAATGTTTGTTTTATTCCATAAATTAAAAATAAAATAAAATGAAAAGCAAATGATGCTTTCTGATGGTTTTTAGATACATATCACTTATCATTTTAAGGAAAGCTCTATTTATTCCTTTATTTTCTAGTGTTTTTAATAGGAACAAATGTTTATTTTGTTGAAAGCTTTTTCTGCATCTATTGAGATAATCAAATGATTTTTTTGTTTTTCTTATTGATATGCTCAATTATGCTGATAGCTTCCATAATATTGAACCAAACCCACATTCCTGATCTGTGCCCTGCCCTTTCCCGAGGAAAGGACCAGGCTCTCCTGCAGCTACAAATGCTAGTCCTCTTGGCCCTGGAACTGTGATTAGGCCTTTGCTCCCCTGCAGCTGTAAGAGTTAGTTCTCTTTTCTGCCTCGAAACTGAGACCAGGAACCCTACTCTCTTGTGAGAGATCACAAGTGTTCTTTTCGGCACTACAACTGTGACCCTGAACTGCCTATAAGCAGGGCAACGGCGTCTTGCCCCCCAGTGTCAGTAAAGGGTCTCCGGTAATCTCTTTCTGACCAGTTGCCTGACCGCCTTACTGTTTCTGGCCTGTGAGCTTTCCAAAGCTGCTGCTACCACTGTTGCCACCTCCAAGGCCTGCTGTTGGTATTGCTGCCACATACTACACTCCAGGACAGCCCCACCTCAATGTCACAGACCTCTCGTCCCAACCTCCTAAGTTGTGTTGGGCTGGAAAAATGTCTCACCCTCACCTTCTGTTGGCCCTTCCACTCCAGAATTCAATTTGAGGCATTATTTTAAAGTTGCTTGGAGAATATTGGGAGAGTTCAGGTGAGTTGCTTCCTGTTCTCCAGCATCTTGTCTCTACCCCCAATGTATAAATATTTATAATGAAGTTTGTACGTGGTATAAGCTTTCAATGTTACCATGGACTCCTCTATCAAAAGTGAGCTCCTTGTGTGCAACAACTATGTTTTCCTTTTTTATTTTTGGGGGGTTTTGTTTTTTCCCCCAAATCCTCATGGCTTGGCAGAGTTCCTGGGCATTGTTGATTACTTGGTTGCTTGGTTAATTGGCAGGGTGGGAGAGTAAATTAAGAAGTATCATCGCCATTTGTTAAATAAATAAAGCTGACTTAAGTAATTTGTCTAGGGCCACCCAGCTGGTAAATAGGAGGTAACTAGAAGCCAACTCTTGAGGTACCTAGCCCAGTGTTCTACTACATATTTTTCTACTGTGTCATACAGCTGCCCTGGCAACGAAAGGTATAGACTCAATTGCCTAGAAAGTATCTTCTTTGTCTAACACTCTATAGATCACTGTAGCTATGGCTGGCCCTATGCTGAGTGGAATCGAGATTCTAGGCCTCTTTTTTTTGTCGCTTTTATAGAGAATGATGTTACTTCAAAGGGCCCAAGTTGGCATTGCTCTCCTGAAGGACTATGGGAAATTATCCTCCCCATGGGAAACTTTACTTTCTCTGGACAAAACAATTGCCTAATTTTCTGTAACGATATCCTGTTAGTGTGTTATTTGTTCCCAGACATGTTCCAACATATCAGTCACTGCGCCTACTTAATCAACTATGAATGACCCTCATGTTTCTCACTGTCTTTTTAAATGAATGTGAAAGGTTATTAAAAGCTCCCAAGGAAGAACTAGCTTATCACACCCCTTAGAGCCTCTGCAGTCTGCTTCTTCCCCTGCAACTGTGGGAATAAATATATAAGAAATGCCAAGTACCTACTTGATTCCTGAACATCTGTGGGGATTTTTTATAAAGCATTTCATTCAGATATTTCAGGACTAAAACTCGGGAGCTGAAGTACTTTATAAATGTTACCTATTGTTTCTATTAGGAAATATTTCAAATTAATTCAGCTAGTTAGTGTTGTGAATAGAATGCTGGACCTGAAGTCAGGAAGAGCTAAGTTCAAATCTAGTCACAGACACTATCTATGTGACCCTAGGAAAGTCACTTAACCTCTGTTTGCCTTACTTTCCTCTACTGCAAAATTGGGATAATAATAGCACCTACCTTACAGGGTTGTTATGAGAATCAAAAGCTCTTAGCATAGTGCCTGGAGCGCCGTAGGCATTATGTAAATGCTTATTCTCTTCCTTCCCCTTCCCCTACTTTTGTTAATCTCTAATCAGACTGTTTCTCTTTCAGGCAGACATGAAACTTGGTGCCTTCTAGCAGCTGCCTGTTGGATGCTTGTTTTTGGAACTGCTAATGGTGGCATTAAGCATAAACCCCTGCAGAATCCAGAAGCTAACATGAACATTGTAAGTCATGCTGATGAAAATGTGAAGGGAAATACCATGTGGGATGGGGTATAGTTAAGAGCCACACTGGGGTGTAGTGACAAGAGGAACAGAGTTGGCATCAGAGGGCCTAGGTGCCTCTGAAACCCTGGCTATACTCAGTCAAACACCGTTTCCTACGCCTCACTGCCCACTCCTTTACCTCCACATGCCTCAGTCGGAGCCTCCCAATATCCTACTCTGTATTTCCCCACTATTTCCACTGTGCCATCTGCAATGCCTTCTCCATTTGTAACAAGCTAGCTTTCATCTTTAATTTCTCCTTCCCCACTCTCCCTTGGTTCCTTCCTGATGACACGGCCCCTCTCTCTGGCTGCGCTTTCCAGCCCTGGCTACATTTTCATTCATGCCCCTCAACTCAGAGGTCAAGGTGGAAGAGTTAGAATACACCTTGTTCCCAACAGCTCCCTCCACCAGTGTTAATTAGTCAACTCACCTCCAGTTGTGGCTCATACAATCATATTTAAGACCCAATCAAAATCCTGGTAACTGTTGTCTACTGACCTCCCAGATACTCCCCATCCTTCCCAATGAGTTCAGTGCCAGGCTCATAGCATTTCTCTTCCCCTCAACTCCTGCCTCACTCAGACTTCAACATACATATTGACATTCCTTCAAATACCCTGACCTCCAAGTTCCTCAATTTACTCATTTCCCATGACTTACTCCTCCGCCCTCTCACAGATGCACACAGAGATCAAATCAGTCATGTCAAAAAAAAAGAAAGAAAGAAAAGGAGAGAGGGAGGGAGGGAGGGAAGGAAAAGGAAAGAGAAGAGAAGAGAAAAAGAATAGAAAAGCAAAGAAAATATGGTTTGATCCGCCCTCAGAGTCCATTAATGATCTGGATGTGAAGCTCATATTTCAGCATGAGTCCTTTGGAGTTGTGGCTGGTCATTGTATTGATTAAAGTTCCTAAGTACTTCAGAGTTTATTGTCTTTACAATATTTTTGTTATTATATTAATTGTTCTCCTAGTTTTGCTCACTTCACTTTGTATCTCTCTTATTAATCTTCAATTGCTTCCTGTCTACTGGCTGGTTCCCTACTACCTAGAAACACACCCATGTCTTCTCGACTTCAAAAAATCCTATGATTCCTTCATCCTGCATCTCTCCTGTTCACCTCTAGCCTCCTTGAGAAAACTATCTACAATTGGTACCTCTATTTCCTTCCCATGACTCCATTGTAAAACCCTCTATAGTCTGGCTTCTAACCTCATCATCTAACTGAAATTTCTCTCTCCAAAGCTTCTATATTTTTCCTTTCTTTCATGGCTAAACTCCTTGAGAAGGCATTCTACAATGATGACTTGCACTTCCTTTCCTTTCACTCTCTTCTCAGCTCTCTACAGACTGGCTTCTGACCTCATTATGCGATGATCTCCTAATTGCCAAATCTACATAGCCTCAATGCCTATTCTTCTTGGCTTCCATCTCCCTGTGACACCATTGGTCACACTTTTCTCCAGAATCTCTTATCTCTAGGTTTTGGGCTTGTTCTTTTCTAATTGTGACCCTACCTGTCTGACCACTCCTTCTCTGTCTCCTTGGCTGGATCTTCATCTGAGCAATGCTTGCTGACCTCGGGTGACCCTAAGTCTCTGTTCTGGGCCCTCTTTTCTTGATTCTCTATATTATTTTACATGGTGATGCCATCAACTCCCACAGATTCGATTATTATCTCTATGCAGATGATTCTGAAATGTATTTATCCAGCCTTAACCTCTTTCTTATCCTCCATTCTTACATCTCCAATTGTCTATTAATCATCTGAAATTGGACATCTTAAACTCAATACGTACAAACTTCTCCCAAACCCTTCCATCTTCAAAACTTCCCAATTACCACTGAGGCCACCAGCAGTCTCCCAGTTCCCCAAGCTCAATCTAGGTGTCATCCTCCCCTTCTCATTCCCTTTTCCCACCCTCCTCACAATATCCAATCTATTGCCAAGACCTTTGGCACCATCTCTCGAATATGCCCCCTCTCCCCTCTGACACGGCCACCATTCTGGTGCAGGGTCTCATCACCTCATGCCTGGAGTATTGCAGGAGCTGCCAGTGTTTTTGTCTGATTCAAATCTCTGCCTCCTCCAGTCTAGCCTCCACTCAGCTATCAAAGTGATCTTCCTAAAGATTTAGCTTGACCTCAATAAACTTCCATAGTTCCCAAGCAACCTCAAGATCCAATATAAAATCCTCTATTCAGCTTCCAAAACCCTTCATAGCTTGGCCACTTCTTGCCTGCCCAGTCTTCTCATCCCTCAGTCCCTCCTCCCCGTCCAAGTACTATCCAGTGACATTGGCCTCTGTTTCTCCTCACACAAGACACTGCACCTTCTGTGTCAGGGTGGGCTGTCCTCCAAGTCTGTGAGAATCTTCCCCCTTGTCTTTGAATCCACAGTTTCCTTCAAGTCTCATCTCACATCCCACCTTCTGCAAATAGCTTTACCCAATTCCCCCTCCACCTTCCCCATTTACATTGTATTTATTTTATCTGTATGTAGTTGTTTGCATGTTATCTCTCCCATTAAAATATGGGCTCTTTGAGACCTGCTTTTTGCCTCTCTTTGTATCCTTGGCACTTAGAGCAGTGCTTGGCACACAGTAGGAACTTAATAAATGCTGTTTGACTTTATTTGACTTGATTGGCCTCTGCTGCTTATTCTCCAGGGATCCTGAGCTAAACATTTAACCCCACTGGGGCCTCAGTTTCCTCCTCTGTAAAAATCCGGGGCTCTGCAAGTTTTCTTCCAAGTTTAGAGTGACAATCATATAAATTCTCTAAAGCTCCCTATTTACAACTCAGGCATCCAATGCCACCATGACTGTGGGCAGCCAGAACCTCTGCAGAGGTGGGAATGTGAATTCTTCCTAGGCATGTGAGTTCACTCCAACTCTGCTACTCACTACCTCTGTGACCTGGGGCTAGTCGCCTCATTTCTGAGCCTCAGTGCTCTAATGGGTAAAGTGGGAACATTTCCCCTTCTTGTTCATAGTGTTGCTATAAAAAAAAGTGTTTTGGAAGCCATGAAAAGTCCCCTGGAATGCTGTCCCTAATATCTCTTACTGTTCCTCCCTCAGACTTTACATGACATACCTTGTCCAATAATGCTTTCTCCTTCTCTCCAGAGGCTGGTCCAGGGTCTTCCTTTCTTTCCCCTGCTTCTTCCTCTGTATGCCCTAGCAACGTTTGGGGTTCCTTGCTTTACAAAGAACCAGCCAATGGCACCAAGATGAAGACTTTTTCTTCCTTTCATACAGAGCCAGATTATTTCCTACTGGGGCTACCCAGTGAAGCATATGATGTTGTAACTGAAGATGGCTTCATTCTTGGGGTTTACAGGATTCCTTATGGGAAAGGAGAAAACTCTGAGAGAACAGGTAAGAGGCATCATGTTATGAAAAGTTTAACACAATGAGACCTAAAACTCAGGTGAGTGGATATCTAGAATTCACCTGGGTAGGAGACAGCCTGGATGTGGTGGAAAGGAAGAGCTCTGGGCTTGGGCTGGAGAAGGTGTTCAAATCCCATCTCAGACATTTACTAGCTGTGTAACCATCTCAATATAGGTTTAGGAAGGTTCAGAATATAGATAATTCAGTACAAGGAAACAGCACACACACACACACACACACACACACACACACAACAGTGGAGCAAGTCATCTTTATTGAGGAGACATTTATAATATGAAGGGCAATCAGGAAGAATGGTAGAAATAGGGCAGGTTCACTTGACCCTGGGTGGAATTGGGTGCACAAAACCAGCAAAGCCTGCTGATGGGATTTTACAAGATTCTTAGCTGTGTCAAGGAGGCCCAGGCTTTGGGGAGAAAGAGTAAGGAGTCTGGACCTGGGGACTAGTGCTAATTCATAATAGTTGGGGTTGGTGGTAGGCGAAGGCTCTTGGAAAATTCATGGCTATCTGATATGATTCAAGCTACCCACAGGCAGAAAAAGGGTCATTTGGTCCTTACTGCTGGTATTACTCTTGAAGTAACTCAAGGCAGGACTTCTTCACTGAGTGAGGTGAAAGAGGTTACTGGAGTCATTACAGCGACCTGGGCAAATCATTGTATTTAGAGACAGCACAGCACAGCAGATAAGGCAGGGGATTTGGAGTCATAAAGATCTAGGTTCAGATCCTGCTTTAGATACTTACTAGGTGTGTGATTCATCATCTAGAAGATGTGGGGTGGGACCATATGGCCACTAAAATCCCTCCCAGTACTAAATCTGTGAAATGAGTAAAAGAATATTGAGACATTTAGACTTCCTTAGGAAGCAGATATCAGAGGGGACTTGGAAATGCTTTTGAACTTGGTTATGAGATATCTCTCCTTCATTTTGCAGCTCGGAGGCCCATTTTCTATTTGCAGCATGGGATGTTTGTGTCTGCTAGTAGCTGGGTGGCAAATCCACCCTACACCAGCCTAGCCTTCACTCTGGCAGATTCAGGTTATGACGTGTGGATGGGGAACAGCCGTGGGAATATCTGGTTGCGGAAGCATGTGCACTATTCTCCAGAATCGCCAGAATTCTGAGCTTTCAGGTAGAAAAGGGATGATGTTTGAAAATAAGATTCCACTGGATTTTCTAGATATATGGAAAGCCATTAATTTTTTTTTCCTGCTCTAAGGGGGAAAATTATTATAATGAGTGGGTGTGGATCATTAAGAGAGACTTTCTGGAAAAGAGTTTAAAAGACGGATAGGAATTCAGCAGGAAGAGAAGGGGAGGATGGAGATGACAGAAACTTAGCATCAGAAACAACACTGGGCATCTCCTGCTTGGGTACCTTGGCCTGTTTTACCCCACAGACAGACCATGCATCACAAGCATGTGTGTCCTAGAGATGAGCAAAGGAATAGACACATCTGATGGACCTGCCCCCTTTCTTCTCTTCCCGCATGAACTGAGGCCCTATCCTGCTTAGGGCTCCCCTCACCAGGTGACAGAACCACTGTTATTGGTCTAGGACCTGAATGCTAAGCACGGAGACTGCATCTGCTGGTAATCTTTAGTGAAAGAATACCCCAAATTGGGACCACCATTTCTCTGACACGTCAGTGATAAATGGGGAAATCTTAACTCTGAAAGTTCCACGACTGAGTCTGAATTATGACCTGCATTCCTGTTCCTCAGGAGCCTTAGCTCTTATTTGCTTCCATTAATCTCACCCAGCATTCATTAGTTCCCAATTGGGCAGACCTATGCTAGGCACCGGAGAAAACCAGACAGATAACCAAGCTGAATAAACAGACCCTGCCCTCATGGAGTTTGCAGTTCAGCTCAGGAAGGCTCATTGGGATTCTTGAGGTCTGTGAAGTGGTTCACAAACATGGACATTCAGAAAATTAAAGCGGCTCCTTCACTGATAGCTGTCTTTAGTATCTCATCATGGTGTGGAGGTCACCTTGGACTCTTAGAGGCTCTGGGAGAATGTCCATAAAGCTCTATGGGCCCCACCAATCACAAGGACCCCAGGTCTGTTTGTTGTCTGAAGACCAGTACAACCAGTTCAACAAGGCTTATTCTCAGAAAGTGGCCATGAGACGATGATTTTTTTTATTCTTAATTTTTTGGGACACAAAAATCATTCAGTTAAGGCCTGGGGTGAAGAAGGTACAAGGTGAGGGTCTGCCTCATTTCAGCAAAGGTCCTGCTGGACCCATGAGCCTTTGAGATACTAAAAGTGTGTCTATCTACAAGTGCCTATTTCTTTAAAAATAGAGACTACGGTCAGTGTACAGTTTCTTTTCTCTTTCCCTTTTGCAGTTTTGATGAAATGGCCAAATATGACCTCGTTGCCACTTTGAATTTCATTGTGGAAAAAACCAATCAGGAGAAACTGTATTATGTGGGCCACTCCCAGGGCACCACCATAGGTATGTGCGGATCAATGGGCAGCGATCAAGTCAAGAAGGATGAATTAAGCACCTACTATGTGCCAGGCACTGTACTAAGGGCTGGGGAAGTAGATTCCAAAGATGTGGGTAAAAGACAGTGAGGAAGGGGCAACTAGGTGCTGCAGTGGATAGAACCAGGAGGAGCTGAGCTCAAATCTGACCTCAGACACTGGACACTTAATAGCTGTATGATCCTGGGCAAGTCACCAAAAAGCAATAAAATAAAATAAAATACAAAGACAGTGAGGAGATCAGGATGATGCCACAGTTATAAACTTAGGAGACTGGAAGGATGGTGGTGCCTTCAATGGAAATGGGCAGTTTGGGGAAAGAGTTTGGGTGGAAAGGTAATGAGATCGATTTTGGACACGTTGAGTTGAAGATGCTACAAGATGGCAAATTAAAAAAGGTATGTTGGGCAGCTGGGAATCGGGGAATGAAGCTCAGGGTGGGGTCACTTGATACAAGGTGCAGAGACCTAGAAATCATTTTTCTAGACACGATAATTAAATCTGGTGACGCTATGCAGAGAGAGGATTGAGAGAGACTAGAAGGAGGCCCAGGACAGAGCCTTGCAGAACACCCACAATTCTAGAGGGAGATAGGGTTGGTGATCTGGAAAGAACACGGAGGAGGTGTAGTCAGACAGGTGGCAGGAGAACCAGGAGACAGCATCTGGGAGCAAAGTGTAGCCAGCAGTGTGAAGTGCATCAGAGTCAAGAAGGATGAGGCTGCAGGTAAGACCCAGATTTACCCAAAAGAGGACATTAGCACTGTGGAAAGAACGGTTTGGGTTGGTGACAAGCCAGACTGCAAAGGCAGAAGAGGCACTGAGGTCAGACCACTCTTTTCTAGGAGTTTGCCTGAGAAGGGAAGGAGACATAAGGGAAGGTAGTTTCAGGGATGGTAAAATCTACTGGTTTTTTTTCCAGGATTGGGGAATTCTGGGCATGGTTCTTGGCCTCAGTTCTAAAGAGTAAATGTGAGGATCCGTGGCTGAACTGGGTTCTGCCCTTGGCCTGGAAGGAGAGGAGCCAAGTATGGAATTCAGTTCTGGGAGCCAGACTCATTGTAAGGACATAAATAAGCTGAAAGGGTCCTGAGAAGGAAGTCAGACCAGGCCACGTGAGGAGTAGAGGGAACTGAGGGGGTTCAGCCTGGAGAAAAGAGGACTGGGGAGAGGAAGGAGGAGTCATGGCAGCTGCTTTCATGTATTTGAAGGATTGTCATGTGGAAGGCAAGATTAGACTTGTCTTATTTGGCTCATGGACAGCTAAGTGGCCCCACAGTAGATAAAGCGCCAGGCCTGGAGTCAGGAAGACTCACCTTCCTGAGTTCAAATCTGGCCTTGTACACTTACTAGCCGTGTGACCCTGGGCAAGTCATTTAACCCTGTTTACCTCAGTTTCCTCACCTGTAAAATGAGCTGGAGAAGGAAATGGCAAACCACTCCAGTGTCTTTGTGAAGAAAACCCCAAATGGGGTCATGAAGAGTCAGATACCACTGGAAAAAAAGACTGAGCAACAACAACAATGTGGCACAAAGAGGAATGATGCAAGGAAGCACATTTTATCTTGGTATAATTATAAATTTCTAAACAATGAGAGCTATCCCAGAGGGAAGAGAGTCTCCAACCCCCAGGCTGGATAACCATTTGGTAGCAAGGTGATGCAACATATAGAATACTGGAGGGCAGCTAGGTGGCGCAGTGGATAGAGCACCAGCCCTGAAGTCAGGAGGACCTGAGTTCAAATCCAGCCTCAGACCAAATACTTGACACTTACTAGCTGTGTGATCCTGGGCAAGTCACTTAACCCCAATTGCCTAAAAGCAAAAAACAAACAAACAAACAAACATAAAACCCCAGAAAACATGGAATACTGGACCTGGAGTTAGGAAGGCCTGAGTTCAAATCCTGCCCCAGGAACTTACTAGCTGTGTGACCTTGGACAGGTCATTTTATCTCTGCCTCAATTTCTTCATCTGTAAAAGAGGATCTACCATTTAGCATCTGCTACAAAAAGTTGTTATAGGGATCAATTGAAATAGTGTATACATAAAGAGCTTTGCCATAGTCAAGTCACATTATTCATCAAGTATGCTATAGGTAGGATTCTTATACAAATACAGGTCCAGCTCTGAGGTGACCTGGGTGCATGTTAAGCCAACCATGCCTTACCATGAAGACTCCCTACTAATTTGCCTGGTGACAGGGGCTCTGAGAATGTTTCAATGTAACCGGTGGTACTATAGGCAAACCCTTCAACCTAAACTATATTCACTTCATTTCCCCAATATGATTTAAATCTTGGTTCTAAAAGATATGGCTAATTAAAAACTGATATTGTGACCTTAACCAGAAAGAAGGGATTCCTCAATGTCCCTCTCAGAGCCACATTTTACCTTTATATCCACATAGCCGGAGGGGGACTGCACCACCTACCAGGGTCCAATAGCTGTCCCAAATCAGGCTAGGCAAAGGTGCACAATTCCAGGTGACTGGCCACAGCTGATTAACTCTTGGAATCTTGTGAAAAGTTTGAGTCACCCCACAAGCCACTAGACAGACACTTCTCTTCCATCTTTCTCCCTGTGGAGATAACCTAAGAATAAAATGGTTGATCTTAGCATTCCCTTCTACTCATTCACATCAGTTGCTATGGCTCTGCCATTTGGTAGCTGTGACCCTTTTTTGGGGTCTCAGTTTCCTTATGTGAGCTCCAAGGTTACCTCCAGCTCCAAATCCTGTGGTGCAGTGGATAGAGCACCAGGCCTAGAGCCAGGAAGACTCCTCTTCCTGTGTTCAAGTCTGGCCTCAGACACTTACTATCTATGTGACCTTGAGCAAGTCACTTAATCTTGTTTGCCTCAGTTTCCTCACTTATAAAATGAGCTGGAGAAGGAAATGGTAAACCACTCCAGGATCTTTGCCAAGAAAAGCCAAAATGGAGTCCCAAAGAGTCAGACATGACTGAACAACAACCCCTACTCTAGGATTTTTATCCCTCTTACCCTTGGTTTCATCCTCTGTGGGGTACAAGATGATTGGAAAAGAACTACCATTAATGAAATCACTTACTCTCATCCAGCTTTCACAGCATCCTCCACCAATCCAAAGCTGGCTCAAAGAATCAAGGTTTTTTTTGCCTTGGCTCCAGTGGTCTCAGTACAACACTGTAGGGGCCCCCTAAAGACCCTGATGTCCATCCCTCCATCCTTATTAAAGGTAAGTGAATCCTGAAGATTGTCAAGAATAAACCCATAATAACCTTAATTGACATCATGCAGGGCACAGGGGAAGGGTCTCAGGATGATCTCATAATCCATCAATGGCAGATTTCACATTCCATAGTACCAGCAGGTTCTTACAAAGGTTCTTTGTTAGAACTTTCCTCATCAGCATTACAGGAATATTCATTTGAAACTGGATTTAAAATCTTAGAACTCAATTAGTCCAACCAATCTCTCTCTCTCTCTCTCTCTCTCTCTCTCTCTCTCTCTCTCTCCTCCCTTCTCTCTCTCTCCCCCCCTCTCTCCCTTTCCCTCTCTTCCTCTTTCTGGTTCCCTTCTGTCTCTCTCATAAATACACACTCACACACAGAGATGTATGTGTATATGTGCATATGTTTTTATCAGCTTCATTTCTGAACCTATCTCTCCCCCAGCTATTCTCCTTCCTGTGGTCCCTTACCTCCACAAGGAAGGGAAGGAGGAGGCATTTTTTTTTTCATCTCTTCTCCAAGTCTGAGCTTGGTTATTATAAGGATACAATGCTAAGTTTCCTGACATTCTTTCCACATACACTGTTGCAGTCATTATATATATTGTTTTCCTGGTTCTGCTTGCTTTACTCTGTATCAGTCCATGATGATCTCCCCATGCTTCTCTGAATATTCCACATTCATCATTTCTTATGGCTTAGTCATATGCTATCACATTGTTATACCCCAGTTTGTTCAGCTGTTATAAGCATTTTGTTCTAACCTCATTTTCCAAATGAAGAAACTGAGGCCTAAAGAGAGAGTCTGGGCCCACAGAGCTTGTAAGGAGCACTGTTCAGATTGCAGCCCAGATCCTCTGGTTGCATTCCAGTGATTTCCAGGGCACTAGGCTTACCTCTTATGAGCGAAGTCAGAACTCTTTCCATTTTTACAAATGAAAATAGTACTGAGATGTAATTTATCTAAGGTTAGAATTCTAGAAATACTTTCATTTCAATGCCTTGCTCCTTTTTTGTGTTTTTTAATTAATCTTTTTTCAATTAAGCATTTGTTGTTTTAATCTCCCACCCACCTCCTACGATGGAAAAAAAAAACCCCAACTACGTATATCTAATATGTGCCATATGGCTTTTGGTCCTGGAAGCTTCCTGCCAGAAATCCAGTAGGGCATGGTGAGGCAGCTGAGGGCATGTGCCCAGATACTTGGCAGAAGCAGCAATACCTTCACTTCTTCTTTCATTCCCCACCCACCCTGGACACTCTCAGGAAAGAGACTCATCCCTACTGCAGTCCCAAGGAAGGTCTGAAGCCAAATGGCTGCTGAGGCAAGCAGCGATCTTTTTGGCTCAGTGCCCCAGTCCCAGAATGTCCCAGCTTCCATTCTAGCACATCTTTATGGCTTGCAAAGTACTTTCCTCACCACCATCACCCTAGAAGGCAGCTGCTACAAGCGCGTTTATTCCCATCTTAGAAATGAAGACATGAAGGCTGGCACAGGCAAAGGCACTTGAGCAAGATGACCCAGCTGATAAGGGAGTCACTGACCTGATTCCAAGCCCGGTGTTTCTCTGACAGCAAAGCTGGTGACCTTTCCACAACACCCTTGGGCTTCAGGAATGTGGGCTGTGGTAACTCACCAGCCTTCTGTGGGTCTCATTGTTTTCAGCTACTGTAGTAACAGCTGGCATTTTGGTGATATGTGACCTGGCACCCCAAGCTCTGGGCTTACACAAACCTAGGTCAGTTCTGGAGGTGGCCTCCTTGAATCATTTCCCATGACTTACTTTACCCTCCCCCACTCAGAATTTCCTCAGTGAACTCCAGAATGTAGACTATGTCTTGACTTTCATCAATGTGAATAAACAGCATCCCAGTTCCTGTGTAAATATCCAAGACATCAGTGCTTATTGAGTACAGCAGTCCTTTCATTTCTTCTTCCTTTCACCTCCAAACAGAATGAAAAAAAAAATCACAAAGATTGACAATAAAAAAGATTAACTAAAATTAAGTCAAAATTAAATTAAGTAAAATATCAACATGGAGCCACCTTCCACTTGGGTGAATACTACTCTGACCAGAAACCAAGGCAGTCACCTAGACCCTTAGCTCCCTTGTGGTTTGTACTCTGCTTGCAAGGAAAATTAACTTTGTGATGCTACAGACAAAGCTGAGATAGTCTGGAGCATTGCACATTCATCCCCCAAACCCATATAAGGGGTCTCTGACCTCGTAGCACTACCCTTAGGGTTTGGAGCTCTCCTAGAAGGAAACAAACTTGCAATGTTCTAACCTTCCACTTAAATCCTTTCTTCCTCCCAGGAACTCTTAGAGGCCTCCAGTCTTATGGTACTATGTTATTTGAGTTACCCTCAGCAGGGAAACACATTTGGGATGGCTAGAAAGACAACTAACCTCTCTTTGGAGAGCTCCGATGAGTATAGTGATTTTGTATCAATTTGTAACTTTTTCCTTCTATTTTTCCTTTTTGTAACTTCCCTGCATTTCTCCTAGTTTCCCCTCTGAGGCCAAGCAGAGCCAGTGTAATTCTTCCTTCAAGCACTAGGAGGCACTTTGCATGTCCCATCCAGAACTTCTCCAGGTTAAATATTGCCATTCCTTTCAACCAAGGACTGATGTATGGTAGGATTGTGATGTCCTTCAATCTAACTGCCCAGTCTTTGACAACTTCAACTTATCAATTTCCTCCGGAAAAATGGAGCCCCAAACTGAATAACACATTCTATATGTTTTCTGACTAGACCATAAGTTGAGCTGTCCAAAAGATAAATGGGGCTGACCAAGGAGTTCCTAGGTTCCCCTACACCGGGAATCTCCAATGCAAAGCTTGATGTGTTAGGGATGATTCTTGCTCAGATACATGTTGGGCTTTGGGAGCCCTTAAGATTCCTTCTGACTCTGGGATTCTTTGATCTTTTGTCTCAGGTTCTTGCTCATCTCTCTTGGCTTCTCATTCACTTACCCTGAGACCTGGTATGTGACATGGCTTGAGCTTGCTTAACTCAACAGGACCTATTCACTCTTCTAACCCCCTGATGTCTGCCTAGTGTTCTGGAACAACCCTAGGTAGGCAGAATAGTCCTGACACTTCCCCTGGAATAATTGAGTTATATGATAATTCCTCCTCATCCTGACCTACTCTCAAAGGTCCATGGCTACCGTATGTCTGGATTCTAGCTGATTGGACCACATTTATTTCAAGGTGAAATGAGGGAGTCGTGATTGATCTCTGGGTCAAAGCATGGCTCTAGTCCTAGGTAGTTCCTCTGCAATAAGAATGGAGTGGGGTGAGATGGAGTGGAATGAGGTGACATCCTCATTCACTCTCTATTGGGAATGGTATCTAAAGGACCCTGGTCTAATTCTTTCCTCTTCAACCAAGTGCATTCATGGTTTGTGGTCATCAGTCATCAGTCATCAGAGCATATGACTGGCATAATAACATGGACAGCCTCAGCTTCCAAGTATATAAAATAAGAGGGTTGGAGGGGATGGTCTCTAAGGTCACTTCCAGGGTAGGACAGGCCTCGACTTTTCTGGGCTTCAGTTCCTTCATGCTCATATAGCTTGTTCTTTTGGCCATATTCTGGACTTTGATTTTTATTCTTGAGGTATTACCTTCAGGGTCACCTGCAGCTCAGTTCTCGAGGTACCAGAAGTACTGGGACTAATTTGTATTTCACAGCACTCAGCTCCAGATAACACTGCTATGTACTATGTGTGACCTGGACAAAGTACTATTCTTTCTGAGTCTCAATTTCCTCCTGAGTCAAATGAAGAGAGTGGACTAAATGATCAGGAAGGTGCATCCTAGCTTTAGAACTGTGATCACATGATTCTATAAGTTCCTCCTAGGTCTATTACTTACTACGTGTGAGATGTTGGACAAGTCCCTTATCCTCCCAGTTCCTCAGTTTCCTTATGTGTAAAAAAAGGAGTTTGGTCTCAAAGTCCCTTCCAGCTCAATATCTATGGTCCTGGGCTGCTCGATTACCTTCCAAAGTGACTACCAGGAGAGGGGGCCCTGTGAAGTAGATGCCAAGAAGGAAAGGGTGAAGAGAGTGGTGGCCTTAACACATCTTACTTAACCATTTTGTATCTTTCCCATCTCAGCAGTGGGCAGTTCAGGACATCTCCACTTCGGGATGCTACAATCCAACGTTTGTGGTTTTGTTGTGTTTCATCTTACTTTTCCAGGTTATCTTCGGTAGAAAGGAGCTGTTCCCAAAGTCTGCCCTCAGTCAGTTCCTTAGGAACCAAATGTGCAACTGGAAAGGGTTCAATATTCTCTGTACAGACTTCCTCTTCCATGTATATGGATACAATCGGGAAAACATTAACATGGTAGGTGTCTACTTCTTCACCCTGGAAATAGAGAGGAACTCCCCTGCTCTCCTTCCCACTTTCCTTAATATGGTTGTTATTTTTATTTTATTTATAGAACCCTACTAAGTTGCAGTGTGGTATAATGGATGTTCAGAGTCAGGAGATCCTGAGTTCAAATGTCACCTCTGGTATTTGCAAGTTATGTGACCCTGAGAAAATCATTTAATCATTTAGGTGCTTCCAGACACCATTTAGGACTTACTAGTGTATATCTGCATTGGTGGAGAGAGTTCCATACTGGACGTACTCCATACTGACAAAATGAGAGATCTTTCCCAGAAGTACTGTTAAGAGTTACTGGGAAATATGCAGGGGATCAAAATAACACAGAGAGAAGAAAACATACAAGACTCTCAAATTCAGAACAATGACACATGGCCATGGGGTTTTAGAGAGTGTCCCCAGTGTGAGAAGTCCAGGACTGGAGCTCAGCAAAGAGACGGCTGAATTGTATAAACATGTATGGATTTGAGAGTCAACTGAGCTTAGGGAGCTAAGGAGTTCAACCAGAAGAGCACTGAGGAAGAGGCCCAGGACAGAGTCCTGGGGGACACCCATGCCCAAGGAACAAAAACATGCATGAACCTGGAAACAGGACTGAGAACCAGGAATGAGCAGGGACAAAGTGGAGAGAGTCTATAGAAGAGTGGTCACCAGAGTCAAGCACTGGGGAGAGATCAAAGAGGATAAGGACCATGAAAACCCATTAGATTTAGCAATAAGAGGTCTCTGATCAATTTGGAGAGAGTTGGTTCAGTTGAGTGCTAGAATCAGAAACCAGATCACAAGGGGTTGAGATGTGAGATGGAGATGAGAGAGAAGACTCCAAGAAAGTAGAGAGCTTCTTCTAGAACCTGGTCTGTGACCAGGGAGGGAATAAAAGGATGAAGAGGGCAATTAAAATGTTGCTGTTTTTTAAGAATGGGGAGACAGGTATGATTTTAAGCAGCAGAGAACCCAGAGGGTAAAAAGAGATGAAAGAGCACTAAAAATAACCCAGGCTCAGACTAGGTGGCTTCTGAGGTCCCTTCTGACTCTCCAATTCTGTGATTCAGTAAAGGAAACAAGCTCCCTGAGGACATTAGAGGAGATGGTGTCCTTTTCCAAAAGTCGGTGGAAGGAGAAGAGAGATGGGGGATGACATTGAGGAGGTCTGAGGTGTAGTTTTAGGGAGAACAGAGAGATCACAACACACTGCTGAATTTCTCTTTTTCTTGGGGGCTGGTCAATGTTAAAGTATGAGGCAGGGATCTCAGATGATAGGGAGAGGAGGGTGATGTAGGTGGTGTGAAGAAGGAAGATAAGATTTAGAGCAGATTGTGTGGGAAGTACAAAAGAGACAATTGGGAAAGAACAAAAAAGATTGGCATGAATCAGAGAGGATGCCATTGGAATTAGACAACACGACAGGGCAGGGGATCCTGCCAGAACAGATGTGTGACTTCCTCTAGCAGATTTCTTGAGCACATACAGCCCCTCTTAATCTCTCAAGTTGGGTTCCTTAAGTTTTGGGGACTCAGCTTCCCCATCTGTAAAATGAGGCATTGGTATCATGATATGGGTGGAAAGAAAGCTGGATTTGGAATTAGAAGCCCTGGGTTGAATCCCAGATGTGGCATTTAATACCTATGTGATATTGAATGATTCAGTTCCCCTCTTTCTTCATCTATAAGATGAAGGGGTTGTATTTGATCTAAGGACGCTTCCAGCTCTAAATCTGTGATTGCACAATCATTACTTACTTTTGTGAAAGAAACAGACTCCAAATTCCCTCCTTGCTTCCTCTCAGTACTAAAACCATTCCCGAATCTGGAGTATACCAATAGGCATCTATTAGGCCTCTCCACACCTGGCAGGGTTCAGTTCATATATCAGGCAAAGGTGGAGAGGGATTACATTCCAGATCTTGGGGATAGCCTGTGCAAAAGCCTGCAGATAGGAGATGGGAAGGTTGTGTGTGGATTCCAGAGGAGGAATCAATATCTCAGAGGGGCTGGCCAACTTTCAGGTTACTAACCAAGCCCACCAAAAGCTGTTTCACATGTGAATGGCATCACAATTCCTTTTCCCACAGTGACTTGACAGAATTTCGATTCCTACTTTTGTCTACATCCTATCCCTGACTTAGTCCAGCCTCACAGAAAGTGAGGTAAAGATTTAAAAACTTTGTGACTTTGGGCAAGACCTTTTCCCTTTTGTGCCTCAGCATCCTTCTCTGTCAAATGAGGGAGCGGGTGAGATGATGTGGTGAAAGTGACTCCAAGCTTAAGTGCTAGGATTGGAGCCAGGAGAAAACAGAAGAACGAAAATACTATCTATCCACAGTAGGAATACTTGCCCCAAAGGATCTCCATCCCTTAAAGTTTACTTCTTTCCCAAATTGCCCCTTTTTGTAATTAGAGGACTGAGAGACAGACTTCTTTCTTTCCCAGAGCTGCCTCGATGTCTATCTGTCCCAGAACATGGCTGGAACCTCAGTCCAGAACATAGTCCACTGGAATCAGGCAAGAATCCAAAAATCTTTGTTGGCACCAAGGTCAGGTACTTGGTCCAGAAGTACTCTTTGTGAAAGAGAGGACATCATTACTGGGGGAGGATCATTACCTGCGTGTTTGGCAGCATATTAAACCAAAGCCATGTCACCGGCTGCAGTCTGTCTCAGCAGCCTGGGGCATCTGGTACCCTCTCTATGGATGTAGAGTAGGTTAGTGTCTCACTTTAGTATTTTTTCTTTTCTATTGGATTCTGTAGCTTGTGGAGATAGAGTGGAAGGAGCCCCAACTTTAATTCAGGGGACATTTGGTGCTCACTGCTGGGGTAGCTGGCAACACATCACGTGACTCTCCTGGGACTCAGTTTCCTCATGTACAAAATGAGAGGGTTGGGTTAGATGACCTCTGAGGATCCAGACTTAGGATCTAGGTCTATATTTCTTTTTTTATTATTTTAAACTGGAAAAGTAAAACTTAAATACACAAGAAAGAAAAAAGAAACGTTATAAACCTAAAACCAAAATAAGAAAAGAGAAAATAAGCATGTCATGTGTACAGCAGAATGTAAGAGAAGATTCAAAATACACAGCGATAAATTTCCATTTCAAGAAAGCCTACATAATAAATACTACATATTGTGTTCAGAGCTGTCCAACTTTTCTTTGCTTCCTTGTGAGTTTTATTTTCTTCTCTTCTCTGTGCACGTTTTACTTTGTGTTTTTTTCCCCTTCCTTCCCCCAAAGAAGGCTACAATTAAGCATGGATATACATACATGCACATATATACACATACATAAATACATATATGTATATATAATACATACATACACACAAAGATATGTATACACATACATATACACACTTACATGCATATAGATATCATACTCATATATAGACATATACATTCATATGCAGCTATGTAAGACCATACTATACTGATGTGCCCTCTGTTTCTCTGAGAGTGGATTACCTCTTCCTTCCTAAGTCTGAGCCTTTCCATATTTTCCCAAGTCCACCAACTCATCATTTCCTACACCATAGCAATATTCCGACTTTATACTGTCTAGTTTTTTTAAATAGTCCAAAAGAACATTGATGAATATGGCTGACACCTAGTATAGTTTCCCTGTTTTTCTCTTTTGATTAAATCTATTTTAGCCTTAACTTTCTCTGAGATCATGATTACTATTCCCTGCTCTTTTTTCCCTAATAAATTATACCTGATCTTTATTTTATGTATTATGTGTATCCCTTATTTCCCATCCCTCCTGACTCCTCTTTTTTACTTCTATCCGCTACCTTGCCCTCCTATTCCTTAACCTACCTCCCCTCCAAGGAGCCTTCCCTTGTCCTCCCCTCCCATTAATCTAAACACCTTTCTATAGCCCTCATTATCCTATTCCCTCACCCTCCCCTCTAAAAATTCCTCCCTTATCCTCTCCCCACTTCCTGTCCCTTTAGTCTTTTTATTTTTTTTCTGAATTTAGAAGAATTGTATACCCTTTTAGTTATATACGTATTGTTCCCTCTTAAACCTATTCCCAAAGAAAAACTAGGGTTCCAGAATTTTCAGTCCCCCTCCCCCATCTAATTCCTCTGCGTCAGTTCTTCGACCTCTCACATCTCATTTGTATAAGATAATTACTTTTTTTTTTTACCTTTTCCTAAACGGTTTTACTTTTAAAAATCACATCATACTCAGGTCAACAGCGATCTGTCTTATGAATTACCCAATTACTAATAAGAATCTTAGACATACATTTTACACTCCCTCATATAAAAGGTAAACAGTCTGTCCCTATCGAACGTCTTGTAATTAGTCTTAGATATGTAGCTTATATTTCTCTTGCCTCTTTTATGTCAAATTTTCTATTAAGTTCAGGTGTTGTTTTATGGTTTTTGGTGTTTTTTTTAACAGAATCCTGAAAGTCTGACAGTGCATTAAATGTCTATATTTTTTTCATTCAGGACTATGCTTAACTTTACTGGGTATGGCATTTTTGGTTGGAACCCTTGGTCTTTTGCTCTTCCATATATAGTATTCCAAACGTGTGGCCTTTCAGACTGCTAGGTCTTATGTGATTCTAATTGTGGCACTGCCATACTTAAATTGGTTTTTTCTTGTTCTTTGTAATATTTTCTCTTTGAGCTGGAGGTTTTGGAATCTAACAATGATATTCCTGTAGGTTTTCCTCGTAGGATCTCTTTCAGGTGGTGATGGTTGTATTTTTTTTTCTATTTCTACTTTCCCTTCTTGTTCTAGAAACTTTAGGGAAATTTTCTTTAATTATTTCATGTATTATTGTATCAAGATTCCTGTTTTGATTATAGCTTTCCGGTAGTCTGATTATTCTTAAGTTTTCTCTTCTCGATCTGTTTTCCAGATCAGTTGTTTTTCTTATGAGATGTTTCACATTCTCTTTTATTTGTTCATTCTCTATATTTTGTTTTATTATTTCTTGGTTTTTCATAAGTAATTTCACTGATTTCCTCCTGCCCAGGTCTGATTTTCAAAGAGTTCTTTTCTTCCTTAAGATTTTGGATCTCCTTTTATGATTGGTCAACTTTTCTTTCTGTAATCTTGTTTTTCTTGGATTGTTTTTTTTTATTTTTCCTCAATCTCTCTCATTTGATTTTTAAAGTCTTTTTTAAAATTCTTCTATGAATTCTTTTTGGGCAAGTGACCATTTGACATTACTCTTTGGGATAGGAAAGGCTTTCTTTGCTCCTGTATCCTCCTCTCAAGATGAACCCTGGTCTTCTCTATTCCCATAATAACTTTCTGTGGTTGGATTACTTCTCCTTTGCCTGAGCATTTTTAAAAAATTTGTAGCAGCTCATTTTTACTAATCACCTCTAGTCCTGGGGTATGGGGGATGGTGCCTCTGGCCTCAAATCCTCCTTCGGTTCTCCGCTCTGTTCTGGAACTGAAACCAAGGACCCCAACCTCCTGTAAGTGCCCACAGTCAGCAGCATCCCTGCCCCACTGCTTCTGTACTCACTGGGCATGTGCTGGTTCCTTCTTGCCCAGGGCTGCGTCTCTGCAGCACAGCTGGGTCTGCCGTTCCTCGTCAGTAGAAATTCCCTCCATCTTCCCCAGCTCAGATGCCCAACTCCCCTCACTGTCGGGAAGGTAAAAGCTCCTGAGGCAAGGCTGCCTCCCAACCTAGCTAACCTCAGAGCTCACCACTTGTTATTTAAGTGAAACTAGCCTGGAGGTGTTTACTCTTCACAGGGACCAAACCTCATCCTGGGATTTTTCTTTGGGTCTTCTCTGGTTGTCTCAGGAGGCCCACAATTCTGTCCCAAATCTTGTTTATTTTTAACTGCTCTGTGTTCATTGTGAGGCATTATTTTGTCTCATTTGTGGGGGAAATCTGGAGAGCTTCGAATTTCCTGATTTACTCCACGATCTTCCCAGAATTCTCTCCTGGTCTATATTTCTTAATAGTGTTGACAGAAAGAATTCCACTATCTATGAATAAATTGATTCCTTTTCTTTTAATTTTAGATTCTTCATTCTGCAAAGTTCCAAGCTTATGACTGGGGAAATCCAGCTGCAAATACGGCACATTTTAACCAGGTAAGTACATTTAAATGTAGTTACAATTTGTGAAAGAGCCAATCCCAGTGAAGGCCGTTGATAACCAAACCACATGCAATCCTGACACTAATACCCTTTCTTTGATCCATTTCAGGCAGATCTTAACGCCTCACTGCCCGGAAGTGGAATCCAGTAATTCCAATATTCTTCAGCTGTTTACCACATCATAGCAATTAAGGCTGAAAGACACCTTAGAGACATCTAATCCCAAACTTTCATTTGTATACACAGGAAAACTGAGGTCCAGAGGGGAACAATGAGTTACCCAAGGCCACACAGGCAGTAAATTTGATCATAAAATCATAGATTTAGAGTTGGAAGAGACTTAGGAGCTCAGAAAATCCCAGCCCCCATTTGACAGATGAGGAAACTGAGGCCTAGAGAGAGAAAATGACTTGTTCATAGTCACATGGATAGTAAGTGATGAGCTGATATTCAAACCCAGGTCTTTATTTTTTGTAATTAATTTATTTACTTTTAGTTTTCAACATTCACTTCCATAAGATTCTGAGTTTTAAACTTTCTTCCTCTCCCTCTCCTTCCTCCTCCCCAACACTGTGTGCAATCTGATATAGGCTGCAGTTATACATAAGTCCAGGTCTTTAGATTCCATTATTTCCCTTATGGCATGGTACCTTTTGATGACAATGACACAGTCATAGCCTACATTTATAGAGTACTTTAAGGTTTGCTAAATACTCTATATTTCGTTTGATCCTCACAGCTCCCTTGCCAGATAGGTGCTATAGTCATTCTTCATTTACAGATGAGAAAACTGAGGCAGGCTAAGTAAGTGCTTGAGGCAAGATTTGAACATAGGTCCTTCTGCCTCCTTGTGCCACCTGATGGGTCACCTGGACCAAAGGTCTTACCAGCCCCATCAGACTTCCTCTAGTCTTCAGGTATTTTCACCACCAATTAATAGAGGTTATAGTCAACCCTCAAGGAAAGACAGGCCCCCCAGAGAATGGAAAAACTAGACTTCAAGTCAGAAGACCCAAGTTCATGTCCCAGGTCTTGTACTTTATCCATTCAGCCAGCCAGCCATTCATTCCTCCATTTCTGGACCTGATGGGCTCTCACGGAGAAGAGGCCATTTATCAGACACTTATTATATTATCTCATTTCATCCTCACAACAACCCTGTCAGGTTGGTGCTACTACCTTCCTCATTTTACAGTTTAGGAAAATGAAGCAGGTGGGGTTAGGTGACTTGCCCTGGGGCACAGGGCTGGTGAGTGTCTGAGGGTAGATTTGAACTTAGATCTCCAGGACTAGAGCTCTCTCTACTGTGCTGCCAACCTGTCTCTAGCATCTCATCCACAAAATAAGGACAACAGTATTTTCACTGCTTATCTTTCAGGGTGGTTTTTAAGACTGCCCTTTGTATACCTTTAAGTGCCGTATATTGCATTGCTTTATGGTTCTCTAAGGGGGTAATTTTTTTTTCCTTTTAATTGCACTCAGGTGACTCCTCCCTTGTATAACTTGGAAGCCATCAAGATACCAACAGCCATTTGGAGCGGGCAACAAGACCGGTTTGCTCCCCGCAGAGAAGTGCTCCCCAATGTGCTCCCCAAACTCCCCAACCTCATATACCACAAGAAGATCCCATACTACAACCACATAGATTTTCTGCTGGGCCTGGATACACCTCAGGAATTCTTCCATGAAATTCTCTACTTGATAAAGATGTACATGAAACATTACAGACCTGGTCGCTTCCTTGTGTCTGCTTGGGAGGCTGGGAGGCGGGAGAGACATGAGTGCTCCTCCTGGGAGGGGACGTTCCCATTTCTCCCCCCTCACCCCTGTTGGGGCAGTGGCAAGGGGAACAAACATTTGTTAACACCCACCATGCACCAGGGGCTGTGTTAGGCATTTTCACTCATATTACCTCATTCCAGTAGGAAGAGAGAGATGTCGATCTAATTCCAGTGTAGTTATTTGGGGCCCTGGGGAAGGAGGCAGCAGCTAGCGTCTGCTGTCGGCAATGGCTAGAAGCTAGCCTGGCTGCAGTGAATGCTAAAGCCTGGAAGGAGAGGCAGTGACTGCGGTGAATGAGAGTTTAGGGTATCCTTGTTGGTGGAACACAAGGGGAGGGGGCTGAATGGAGGGCTTGGATCTCAGAACAGGGCACCTCCAGAGCAGGCTGAGAGCACATGGGTCCAGAGGGAGCCCTGCCGAGTTTGTCCCTCAGGGGTCATTATGGTGTGTTGCATGGATAGTATTATACATACACACACACACAGATGGAGAGAGACAGAGAGGCAGGAAGGAGGGCAAAGAGAGGGAGACAAAGAAAGAGGGAGGAGAAAGAGAGGAGAAGAGAGGAAGAAAGCAAGACCAAGACAGAGTGGGACAGAGAAAGTATAAACCAGTAGAAAACAAGCAATGCAATGAGTTGTAAGATCAGCTTCCGTCTAGGACAGAACCTCCAACTCCAAGCCCAGTGGTACTAGTGGCCTCTGGACAGCCTACTACTTTGAGTGAGGGACTGCTGATTTGTCTTCCAAACTAAAAATCTGGAGCCATCAGTGACTCCTCCCTTTCTCCATCACCCCATCAATCCTGTCCGTATGAATTGTTTCTTCAAAACATCTCTTAAAAAATATTCAAGGTTACCTCATATAAAAAAATCCATAGAATCAAACAAGGTCATATGGCTTTCCCAGCTATGACTGGGGCAGCATTCCAAACTGAAAAAAGGGCAGGCTGGTGATGGTCAGTCATTCAGCTGTGCCTAACTCTACATGACCCCACGGACATTGTCCATGGAGTTTTATTGGGAAAGATGCTGGAGTAGCTTGCCATTACCTTATCTAGTGTGTCTTCATTTTACAGATAAGGAACTGAAGCAAATAGGAGCTAAATGACTCGCCCAGGGTCACAAAGCTAGTAACTGTCTAAGGCTGGATTTGAACTCAGATCTTCCTGACTCCAGGTCCAATGCTTTATCCACTATACCACCTAGCTTCACCCCTCCCTTCACACCCACCCAAAGATACAGGAGTGACAGCTCATTTGACAAATGAGGAAATGGAGGCAAACAGGGTTAAGTGGCTTACCCAGGGTTATACAGATAGTAAGTGTCTGAGGCCAGATTTGAACCCAGGAAGAGCAGTCTTTCTGGTACCAGGCCCAGCTCAGTACATTCCAGGGGAGGAGACAATGGTAAAAGATATAATGGGGTCTTTCTATCTCAAGATTTTTGCGTGAAAAAAAAGCAATTCAAGTATGACAAGAAGGGAAACTTGATGGGGACGGGGAGGCACAGCAGATCACTGCCTCAAATATCTTTGATTAGAGCCTAATGTTCAAAACATATAGGAAACTAACCAAAAATATTTCCACTGGGGCTGGTCTTGGTCTTTTTTTTCCCCAGGTGCTTGTGCTGTCAAATACTTTGCGTTTATCTTCTACATTTTTAGAAGTATTTTCCTGTATCCGTTTTGTCAGCCAGTTTCATTTTTGTCTTTGTGCACCCAGTACCTGGTACCTTTCAGCACATAGCAAACACTTAATAACTACTTATTGATGATGATAATGGGGATAATTATCATAATAGTTAAGTTAAAGGTTTACAACTTGTTTGCCTAATGTAGAGAGCTTTGAGGTTAGGCTCCTTAAAACTAGGCTGTGAACAGGGCAGAAAACATCTAGAATGTTCTATCCAGTTTGGGGCTCAGTCTTTCCACAGGAAATCAATAAGATGGAGTTGACAGAGACTGGGCAGTTAGATCAGAGGACATGAAACTCCTGCCATACATCAGTCCTTGGTTGAAAGAAATGGAAATATTTAACCTGGAGAAGTCCGGGATGGGACATGCAAAGTGCCTCCTAGTGCTTGAAGGAAGAATTACACTGGCTCTGCTTGGCCTCAGAGGGGAAGCAAGGAGAAATGCAGAGATGTTACAAAGAGGAAAAATAGAAGGAAAAAATTACAAATATATACAAAATCACTGTGCTCATCAAAGCTTTCCAAGGGGAGGTGGGTTGGCTTTCTAGCCATCCCAAATGTGTTTCCCTGCTGAGGATAACTCAAATAACATAGTACCATAAGACTGGAGGCCTCTAAGAGTTCCTGGGAAGAAGAAAGGATTTAGATGGAAGGTTAGAACATTGCCTCACTAGAAACCACAAGGTCTTCCTGACTCTGAGTTCAAATATGGCATCACATGCTTGCTTGCTGTGTGACCCTGGCCAAGTCACTTAATCCTGTTTGTCTCAGTTTCCTCGCCTGCAAAATGAGCTGGAAAAGGAAATGGCAAACCACTCCATTTTCTTTGCCAAGAAAACCTCAAATGGGGTCACAAAGAGTTAGACATGACTCATCAACAGAACAGAAGAAATGTACATTCATAATCCATGCAACTGTCCTTTTGCATTAGACTATAGAGGCCTTGGGTCTCTTCTGACCTTTGAGGACAGTTCCATGAGCTGCTATGACCAAAACTTTGATGATCTGGCAACCAGCTCCCCGCCTCCCCCAGTGATCCCCTCTGACCTTAGTTCAGCTGGTTCTCAGGCTACAGACATCAGGTTTGCCATTAGGCTCACCCTGGAGAGGTCTTTTAAAAGCCAGGGTCCCCTCTACATCATGTGAGGCAAGGAGGACTTTAAGAGATGATTAGAATTAACAGTGTAACTGACTCGAAAAGTGGCAGCCAAAACTACAAAACGCAGAGAGAAGCTGGGGTTTCATGTATTTGACTGATTGTCTCTCATTCATAATTACTGTTCTGTCTTGGCTGCGCTCTTCGCGTGGTATAATTCTCGAGTGATCAGAAAGTATCTCTGCCACTAACGATACAAACCTGACATAAATCTCCATTGTCAGTCAGTGATCATTACAGGACCTCTCAGGTCTGAGTAACTGCTTAAATTTGGGTCATTCTAGTTTGTGGCAATGGCCAGTAGATTCAGAAGCTAAATGGTTCCTGGTCAAGTCTACTCCTGACATGGGAACTCTGGTCTGGTCAAACTCTCAAAAGAAATATGTAACAATGGCCAACATATAGCATCCTTGACCCCAGGAGGATCCTTTGAAATTGATTAACTGTTGAAGCTTTATAATTAAACCAGCTTTCCCTGATGTCACTAATGACTACACTTCTGATGCTAAACTCATCTTCCCAATGAACACAGATGCCCACTAACACTTTTTAAACTTTCAGGAAGAGGTAAGTTATTACAATAGGTGAGTGCTTCAGAACCATCTGTTCTCAATTGTTCTCTCCACCTTGGAAAGACAGACACTTATTTAAATCAGGAAACTAATTGAGAATAAGCAAAATTTAATTTGGGGGAATATTTTCTCTAACTGCTCTATTTTCTTTTGTGAATGTTTTAACAGAAAATAACGGTTTAGGTATATTATAAGCAAGATCGCCTGAAAGGATTGGAATAGACTATGCATTTATAAGGTTTTGAGAACCCCAAATTAAAAGTTTTACAATTAATTGGTGTTATATTAGGTAAAATTGGTATTATATTGCAATTAATTGGTATTATATAAGAAAAAAAAGTTCCAATTTGCAACACACATTCCGTGGAGTGAAGAAAACTAGCTTGGTAGATAGATTGGAATATAATTGGGAAATAAAAAAGAGGGTCTGAGAAAGTAGTGAAGGTAAGTCAAGGGTTGAATCAGAATGTGAAAAGAAAAGTGAAGCTTTGAAGTTTGATGGGCTGTGATCAAAAGGGGTTGGGTTGGGGCATGTTGAGAGGAGAAAGTAAGTTAAGGAAGATGAAATAAAAGGAGAATGGGAGGAAAGATGGAGATTGTGTGGATGTGAAACTCACAGGGCAATTGAAGTACATGGGGATTTCTCCAAGAGCAAGAATATAGAACTGATGATTTTTTTTTATTGCCAAAATGGATAGGTGAATAAAATTGTTTTTATATAAAATAATTCAGAATGTCCTTTAATTAGCAATGTTTTGTTTCACATTTCATGTTCTAAGTCCATAACTCTGCTTTATGTGATTATTATGCTTTTAATTTCTTTGTATTGTGATTTTAGAAGAAATGAAGTTAATTAGAAAAATTATACATAGACAGAGATACAGTTTAGAAAATGAACTTTTGATCTGAATGCTGTGAAATTATGAATTTAAAATGTATGTTATTAAAGACTGTTGTAATGGTTAAAAATTATCAACTATTTAATTGGATATATTTTGCTTTAAAATGAATAACAACAATTACTTAGTGTTTGGAGAAAGTACAAAAAGCCTTGTAAATTCTCATTATCTGTAAAGTGCTTTGGGAACTTGTTGGACCTTCAGTTCCCTGGATTGTCGTGGCCTTGGCAAGATTATAAAATCTTACCAATCCTGTGAAAGCCTTTGCTGAAAGAATGCTGTGAAATTCTAAAATAGTAACATGGTTACTGAGAAACTGAGATCCTTTGTTACAGACACTCAAGCCAAAGTGGGAGGCCTTATAAGTTTGCTTATGTTACAGAAGTGTTATAGAAGTATTTGTACACACACACACACACACACACACACACACACACACACACACACAATGATTTGTCTGACTACTGATTGTGAAAATTATGAAACTGCACCCAGAATAGCATGTATTGAAGGTACATCTTTGGCAAGCTTAGTATTAAAAGACCCAGTTTTAAAGATTCGGGTTTTTTTTTTGCCTTAATGGTTAATATGCAATACCTTAAGATATGGATTTCTGGGACTCTGGAGGCTTATGGTGGCCAAAGTTTTTCTGGGTTTTGAATGAATTATCATGTATTCACTGTATGTGTGAAACTCCAGAATCTGATTTTTTTTCTTTTTTTTTCTTTTTGCTTTTTGGTGAGGTGATTGGGATTAAGTGACTTGCCCAGGGTCACACAGCTAGTAAGTGT